ATAATGTTATTATTATGCTTGCTCCAAGGCTAAATGTCTATGTAAATGAAGATCATCTATAGAATATGGCTCTATACTGTTACTCATAAGAGTTACAGAGTACCTCTACGTTCGAGTCACCAAATGATATGACAATTCGGTAATGCTCACCCATTTTTTGACATAGAAATACAGAAAGGAGGTTGGAGAGTATGTTTCATATTTTTTCCTTCAACAGAATCCAACCTATCAACAAATCTACTTAAAAAAAGCTGAACGTTTATGATACATGCATGAGCTGCTCGTACAGCAAGGAACAAAGGAAAAAATCAACTTTTAAGAGGGAACTAATAACCTGTCTTTATCAATTAAATCTGGGGGATGAGCCATACCCAAAACCATTAACTAATAGTTAAGATATTATACAAGCCAAAAGATTTTAACAAGAAAATATAACATGTTCAGTTCACCTCAGTGCCAAGCCTCTTATTCAGAGCTTCGTTCCACATGTTAGCAGCATATGCTGGCTGCACTCTTGTCCACATGGACATGACAGAAATCACCTGGCAACAAAAGTCATCTGCTGAGAAACCACAGTAAGTTGTCCAAGAGTTCTATTCAAATGGAAGAAGGGGTAGTGATGAACAAATTAGTATTCCTTCAAATTATTGCTATTTTTGTTTTGATTGACTTGCTTTTTCACCTTTTTGATGGGTTTCTTTTATCAAATGGTTCCACATGGAGGCGAGTAGTAATCAATAACCATATATCCTTCTAAATTTTAAAAACTGCAAACATATTGATGACTGGTTTATGTTGGGTTTATACTATGTAAAGGTATTTCCTAGAGATAATTAAGCAAAGTGATATCCAAGGATAGAATATGTGCACGTTAGATAAGTCATTTGTGACTTGAGAACTGTCTACCAGTTAGCATCGAGATTGATGGACATATGGCAATTCACCTAGTTGCTTTGGAGAACACAAACATCCACTGCTACTTGCTCATCTTAGATATATTCCAGTATAATCATAGTTTATACTTTTAAGAGGAAAGGAAGGGAGACAATACCAAGTGAGCATCAAGAGGTGGAGGGTAATTATCCGCTACCGTGTCAATCCAACTAAAAATCATGTTATGGTAACCATATGGCTTCCCGGACATTTTCCGAGCATATTCCCATGCTGCGGTATTATTAAATCTCGCACGCACTTCAGGATGTAAGGGCAACAAAGCAACTTGTGGATTAGATTCATCCTTGAGTGTCAATTCCCACCACTCATCCCAAGGGATAACTGCAATAATTTCTTCACCCTGCAAAGATATACCACAAGATTAAACAAAAATAAGAGAACACCACAATTCATGCAATTAAAATGCAAGGCCTTTACAGGCTTTAAAAGCTAACAAAAAAACTCAGTATTCTCTACCTCCGGAGGTAGAGAAGGAGCATAATGGAGTATAGTAACTCACCAGAAGTCCACTGTTATCCATAAGAAAAGTTGCAGAAAAGTAAAAGGGAGCATAAGGAGATTAATGTAACTGAATCTATTTATGTGACATGGAAAATGATGTTTTTGAGATTTGCTAGCACTGTTTCTCCGTGTAGTTTAGTGAGATTTTCTCATTTGCTCACCTTTTCATTTTCGTGTCCTGATTCACCAACCCAAAGATTACCCAACTCATCCTTCAAACAAACAGATGTATGACCAGCAAAGGCACCAGTGACCCACTTCTCAAGAGTTTCAAACCCACCCCACCGTCCACGTATCTTTGACAGAGCTAAGAAATCACCAGAATGAACATCATCTGGGTTAATTGTTGCCTGCCGTGGATGTGGACGTTTCTCAAATGTCGCACCCATGTGCTTCTTCAGAAAAGCAAGGTTAGAATTCTGTCCCCATGCGGTGTTAGAAAACAGGGGTAGTACATCCACCAAGGAAAGCAAGGTTCCGAGCATTCCTGATGGCATGAGAAATACAGAAATTCCATGTTCCTTGACCTGCATAGCAGTTGCTTAAAGATCAATTATAAATGTATGGACATCCATTGGAATTAGACAAAAGTCCCAAAACAAGAGCATACATATTCCCTTTCAGCAGGTTCCTCCCATGACTCAATTTTAAATGTGTGATCATGGCCCGAAAAGTAGTAGTCCCAGGATATCCTATAAGGTGTAGCAAATACATACAGATCCATACACGTCCAGCTGTGTGCTGCGCCTGTCTGCAAAGTGGGTAAATGAAATCTGAAATACAACTGTGCTAAGGATGACTTTATCCAATTAAAAACAGCATAATAGAATAAGAACAAGTATATATAGATACCAAAAAAATCGTATTTCTTTCTTAAGGTGTTATATCAGTTTTCACTTGTTATCACCCCATTGGTTTCTATTTATGGATCATCTAGGTGTCAACAGAGGAAACATTCATATAATCAATCTAGCTGTTTTTACATGGTGAAGGTGGAACCACAAAACCGCATGCTTCTTCTATCATTTGCATCCTAGTTTCCTTTAAATGCTAGAGCATTTACAAACCATATAACCGAATTACATTATAGCGGCTACGCATCAAAACGAATACTGACAAATAGTAAGTCACGTTCCATGTTTATTCTTGTTGTGAAGTGGCTCATTTATGTAGCAAGAAACAGCCATAACAAGCAGTTGTCATAAATGGCAGGAATCTGACTTTCTCAGCATGCAGCTGATTCAAAGCTACACCATTTTTCCCTCCCCCTACTTCTGCACCCGACTACCATATAATGGCAAGAAATGCACTACTATTTCTAATACTAACAACAAGAAGTCAAACTTTTGTTAAAATATCAAGTGATAATATCATCCTAATATGAAGCATTCTGCAACTTTACCAGTAATATTAACACCTTCCTCTTTTCCAGACCTTTTTATTCAACTATTTTGTAAAAACTTGGGTTTCAAACATGCAATTCTTAGTCTTCCAACACCACACTCTCCCAACCCCTGCCCTAACCAGCAAGATAAATTCCTAAGAATACAACAACCCTATACATCTTACCAGTGAATACTGCTCTACAGATAAACTAAACAGAAACCATATTCATAATTTAGAAATATGAAGCCTAACTTCAGCTCGTAAGCATGCAATCATTAACCTTTTCCAACACCCCACCTCCCCTAAAAAAGAACCCAGCAACATAAAACCCAGAAAATTCACCTTTTCAAGCCATTCCTATCACCATTCATCAATTAAACATCATCCCACCAAAAATTACCAGAAAAACTACTCTACAAATCAACTAAACACAAATCAAATTCACAATACAGAAATTTTAAATCTACAAACCGATAGATGAATAGTAGCACCGCCAATGCCTCGATCACCGGGACCGGTAAACTCAACCCTTGCTTCATTCTCAAAAAAGCAAGCTCCCTTCCAACTAATTGACCCATTATTAGGAGCTAGAGATCCAATATAAGTAGGCATCAAATCAACAGGGCTATGCATAGTGTTAAGGACAGGCCAAGAAACCTGATGCGGCAATACAGGAAGTACATCCTTGACCCTAAACGGCATTTTCAATGCATACCCAAAACTTAACCCTAACCCAATTCCCAATATCCATAACAGTGTTAAACTACACAATTTCTGAGGTCGATACATCACTGAAAACAGTGAATTCAACAGTAAATTGCAGATTTTTTATTATTGGGTTTTCTGGGAATTCTTCAGAGTCGATTAGGGTTCCATTGGGTGAAGAAATTTGAGCTCCGATTTGGGTTTTCTTGAGAAAAAAAATTGAGTTTCTTTGGGGCTGGAATTATTGAAAAAGGAGATGAAATTGTAACATATGGTTCCTTTTGTTGTTGGTTGTGTTTGTGTTGTGATTGAAGTGGATATTCCCAAATTGAAAGATTCTATTTTGGGAAATTTAATTTTTTTTTATTTTAAGATAAGATGAATTAATTACAATATTAATAGTAGAAAATTGGAGTTTTTAAATATGTTTGAATGTACGAGAAAAGTCTACTAATCATGAAAAGAGATGATAGAGACAGAATTTGCTTTGGTGATAACAGTTTTGTCCCCACATGGATTGTGGTTTAGTGGCGAGATAGATTCATCATTTATCAGAGATCTTGAATTCGAGTTTTTTATATGAATTTTTTTTGTTGAGAGTGTCACCTCCAAATGAATCCTCTAAATTTAGTTCGAGCTCCAATACGAATTTTGAACACCAAATGAAAAAGTAAAAACCTTAAAAACGATAAGTATCATTTTTGTTTTTGAAACCGAGTCAAATTTCCAATAAGGTTTATTCTTTTTTTAAAAATTCTACTTCTTTATCTTAATTAATTTCACGAAATATATGTCATCTTTTATTAATAATAGAGAATACTAGAACTTCGCTCATCAAAATTAGAACACATACATAAATCACATGGTATTTTTGTCTCCGTTATTTCCACTTCCTTATTACAAAGCTCATTCCTCTCTCGACAAAGAAATTACTTGCAATATGTTTAATTCCCTTTGGTAAATTATACTTTCTTTGCTTTAATTTATTTATTTGATTTAGAGTTTTTTTTTTTTTAAAAAAAGAGAATTTTAAATTTTATAGTCTTAAATTAATATATGTAGAATGTATTAAAATGACTTCTAATCTTATAATACTAAACATGTCAGGTGTAAAATTAAAACTAAAGAGTTATCTAAAAGAAAAAGAGACGTTCTTTTCAAAACGATGGAACAGTTACTTGAGTTTTGGAGATGGGTGACCGATGACGAATTAACAATACATAGTTGCGCCTAATACATGTTTTGCATTGATTAATATAATATAAATATCAAATGTAAATATATTTAGTCACCAGTCATATATACACAAAGACTTGAAGTAAAATATACGTATTAGCATGTCATTGACTTTCTCTTTTTAAGTACATGGTCCTCTTTGTTTACTCACTGTTTACTTTATTAATTATTGGACCCTTACATTGAATTAATAGAAATGTGCCAGCCATGCAAGTGGTAGTAGAAAAATTAAATTATTGGGGGGCCAAAATACAGAAAGAGAGTTTTATAATTGAACCAAAACAAATATTTACTCAAAGTTGGGCTGAGGGCACATTTTAGCATCACCTCAAGGAATACAGAATCAGTCAGCTTAGATGTACTTTGACTAATTCCACGAGCTATCTACTACCTTCTGTCAACACATATACCGAGTAACTTTGTCCATCAAGGGTTGGACCAATGAGGAGAAATCACCTAATGTTCTTGCCTCGGTTTGGGAATTGAACCTGAGACCCATGATTTTCAACCCACTTCATTGACGACGAGGCCACACGCGTGGGTGCATTTCTTAGTCTAAACATTAATACTCTTCAGTCTGCTATTTATGTTTTAATAGAGTCAAACCATTGCATCCTTGAGATACTCTGAAGAAGGTACTTCAAATCCCAAAGATGAAGCAATTTGAGTAGCATGGAAGAAACAGGGCACTGTCTTCTACTGCAAGGGGTTGCCTAAAAGGATTTAATTGGATCTGCAACAATTTAATGAATTGAGTTAAAAGCAGTAGACAACTTTAAGAGCAAAATTTGAAGAGAGAGAAAAAAAAACGGTTGACGAAAGGTGTGAAAAAAGAAGAAAAAACTAACAGGAATGGTAGGAGAAGCCCCAGTGACAGAGCTTATGCAACTAGTTGCCAGATTACAAGCTTCTTCACAGTAATCGGAGAAAAATGCTGGAACTTTTATCTCATTTATCAGCTCCTGGATGAAAAGTTAAAGAAAACAACAAGAAAATCGTTTAGCAATACCAGACTTGGCTAGCTTTCTTGAAAGGTCTCGTACACTGTCGAGAAAATACTCAAGGTAAAAACTTGCATATGAATCTCATATCCAATTAAAAGACTTACAATGGTTTGAAGCCAGCTTCTGTAAGCAGCAACACCAGCATTCGGTGCAATAATTAGATTAGGAGGAGTATCCTGACAAAGCTTACAACATTTGAGTAACACTAACAAAAGAAGGAAACATTTCGCAAAGACAAATGCTGTTTGACAGACCTTCATAAGATCATTATAACAATCATGATAATAACCATTATGAAGCTTTAATGTAATGGCTGAAGATCCACTTTGTAATGACGTTGGGCCAAAACTCTCAGCCGAACATTTACACTTGCAGTTGGTCTCTGTACAACGAGCATAATCACGAAGTTCAATTCTCTCACCATTCCTAAGCATTAACAAGCAAAAGGGCATGTTCTATTATTGGTAATTAGAGCAAAGTGATTATACATAATCTGCAAATTTAAACAAGATACAGATGAACTTTTGGAAGTAGAATTAAAGAAAGTTAAGAGGTTAGTGTGAACATGCTGTATTATACAGCTTAGCAGTATGCGGTTACCAAGGTAAATGATGGATAATGTCTAGTAAACTGGCAAGGATCCTGTTCTAACCATTTTTCTGTTAGCATCATCTGCAACCATTATATGTGTAGCAGTCATTATTCACTGAAGATGATTGTACTTATAGAGCCCAACCAAGGGCGCTAAATCAAGCATCTATTGCCTCCCAAGTTCATCTTTCTTTTTAAACCTTTTTTTTAATGTTCTTTTTGAAATTTTTATTCCAGAAGCGATCAATTTACAACACCCTCTTCCAGTCCATGAAAAGATTATAAGAGCATTAATAGTTCATAAACTTCAAAATGAGGTCAATGAGTATACTCTCCTTTCCTGCTAAATAACTAGAAGTTGCAGTGAGAAGTAAGTAAACTAAAAACATGAATAAAGGTGAGCAACCAAACCTTTCTTCTGGAACTGCCGGTCCCACAAGATCAATATGGATTCGAACATCAGGAAAAACTGCATGCAGTTCACTGAACACTGCAAGCTGATGAAGCTCTTTTTCAGGACCTTCACATTTCAAACAAGAGAAAGAGCCCAAAATTCAGTAGAAAAATAACAAGCCCTTGGAAACTAGCTCCAAAGGAGATGAAGAGTGAGCAGTGGAGTGCATAGCATATTTAATAGGAGCTCCAGAAGTTTTTAGGGTTCTGAAGGATAAATTAGCTCTAATTGTCATTTAACAAATTACACAGACAGAAAGAGAGGGAGAGAAGGGGGGAGGTCTCTTGTCTATAAAGCCCCTTAGCAAGGACAGAAGAAAAGAGAGTACCTAAATAATGTATGCGTAGCTCATTACTAATTTCAGGAATCAGGTTCCCTTGAACTGCCAGCTTAATAGCCCAATACAGCGTCAATGACTGGAAAAAGCAAGAGAAAGATAGTAGTTAGTACTACAAATGAGCCAGTGAGTTTCACAATTGATTTCTCCAAAGAAAGAAATTTTCAATAGCTTCACAAACAATTCATACTCCTTAAATAGAATGACCCTATGGAAGAAACTTCAACACAAAACGGCAATGAATTATATCGCCCAAGTAATATGGCTACTACAAACTCATAGATTTAATGTTTGTATAGCCAACTTACCCAGTGAAGTAGCAAAGCAACAGGAGAATATAGTGGAATGCACCTCCATTCATAATATTCTTTCCAACCACTAAGTAACTTCGGTAACGGAGTGGATGGCTCTGCGTTTATTTACTAGTTTAAATTAGCATTCCAGACAAACATTGTATTCATGTATTAATTGTCTCAAGCACTACACACTACCTCTACAAGGACACAGTGTAATAGATAGGTTCCAGTCTTTCATGAGCCTGCTAATAAAAATTAAGGATGAGATAACTATACGTTGTTTTAGGTTAGAAGCATTTCTTTATCAGCATAACAGCAGAGATCAAAAAGTACATCTTCATTTCGGAAAGACATGGAAAATGCAGAGAATATTCTCAAATCGTATACTAAGACACAAAAAACTTTATCTTTGACAAATATTAAGCTTGATTATAGAAAAATACTGCTAATATATACAAATAGTAGGAATACCAATACGGAATAACTAATGTTCAGACAAGAGAATACATAAGGCACTGCAAAATAAGGCATGTAATTAGCTAGGCTGATCAAGAACAAAACACTTTATCATGAAAAGTGTAAGCAACCTTGAGCAATCAAATATACCAGTTGATGCCCCACAGCTACATTCAAACGTCCACATTCCTGTACGGTGAACTCCCTGTTTTATCAAGAACGAACACCTTGTTTCCCGTTTATCACACACCTACAAAGCACCACCAAGCATATTTTACCTAAGCACTTCCATGGACAAATCAATACGACAATTCAAAAAATTCTTTTACTCCTTACCTGCATAGTAGCTTCTTCAGAAAATGTAAAAGGGAAATCACTCACAACATGTGCATGCTTCATTTGCTGTTCCAACCTTTGACACTCTTTCTTGTGTACATTCCCATGTGATACCTGAACACAAAATCTATAAAGTTCTCCCACTTTTCTTATACTTCTCCCTCCGTTTCTTTCACTTTTTAGCAACTCTTTAATTCCAATTTTCCCACATAATATGTTTAAGATCATACGAGTAGAAGACATTCAAGTAACATTCTACATATCTTTAGTTTAAGTTATTTATTTGCTTAAACTCGATATCAAATCAAAACCAGACAAACGAATTGAAACTGAATGAGTATTACTACTAGGGAGCAAACAATTCTATACTAAACAATTATGTGAACATCTTTTAAAATTAACCATAAAAAGTAGTAAACGAAGCAGATTCTTCATAAAACCTGGTGAGAGATGGAGCAATAAGCCACAGCTTGGCAGCGACGGCAACGTCTCATCGCCGGACCGGAACATGGGGTTCGGCTTCCCCTGCCGGCGCACTCCATGGTTCCCGATCAATATGAACTGATGGGTTGATCGGAAGTTGGAAACGAAGCCCACGTATCTAAATCGACGAAAAATTATAGGCCCAATGAGTGTGTATAGGCCCATTGTCCTCAATTAGCCCAAAGAGAAGATAGAGAGTATGGGCTTGAGACCCATGAATGACTAGAGGGGTTTGTCAAACATAATTTGACCCTTCGATGTTTTGGATTGTTGATTAATATGTAGGAAAAATTACGTAAATACACAACTTAAGATATCATAATCTCTAAAATTCTTTATTATATAAAAAAAATTACAAAAATTCCTTCTCGGAAACATCTCTATCCCCTTTTGAATACATTCTGATCCTCTCTCGGATACATCCCTCCTATTAAGTAATATATCATTTGCAATGTATCAGACAACCAAGGAATGTATCCGAAAGCATTGAAAGTTCCAAATATTTTGTAATTGGGGAAACTTTCGAGATAAGGTGTAATTAGCCCCCGAATGCATGAAACTTCCGTAAGTTTTCCTAATATTTAGTCATTATTTGAATTGTAATTGAAAAAATGATTTCTTTTTAAGATAGAAATACTATCTATGCAAGTTTAGTGACGTAACATATGGGGTGGAAGTGAAAATGGAGATTGATGTACAAGTTATATCAAAGAAATGAAGTTTTAAATATCTTGAGTAAATAATGACTGGGAGAATGATGATAGCGTTGCACATTATTTAGAGCGGGGTGGGTGAAATGGAGGCTCGTCCATGGAGTTCTAAGTGATAACAACATGTGGTTAAGGTTTAAAGGTATGCTCTATAGAATGTTGTTAGACCAATATTGTTTTAAGAGGAAGAGGGGGGCTAGTCAAAAACCACATTTAGATGAAGGTAGCAGAGATGGCGATGCTTAGTAATTAAATGTATGTGTGTGCATATTATGAGATATATGATTAGGAATAAAATTATATGGAGAAAACTAAAGTTGGAGTGGCAATATCCGAGGTGGACAAGAATAGGGGAGTGAGGTTCAGATGGTTCAAGCATGTGAAGAAGGGGTGTAGACACGCCCATAAGAAAGTGTAAGAGGATGGTTGTAACATGAGTTAGGAGATAGAGGTAGGTCGGTAAAGAACGAGAGAGGTGATTGGATATGAAATGACACAACTTCACCTTAATGAGGACATGACCCTTGATAGGAAGGTTTGGACATCGAGAATTAGCGTAGAAGGCGGCTAGCATGGAGTTTGAACTTGGAACCTCAAGGTAAAATTTGAATCCCCTAAACCTTTGAACCAATCGTTAGTCTTGTGTTTACGACACTCAAAAAAAAACTTACCTTACATATATAGTATAACTTTTTTATCAAGACGATTCAAGTGAACACTCAGATACCCCCCTAGATACATCCCTAGCGAGAGATAGGGAATATTTAGTAGTAATGTAGTCTCTTATTCTTTAATGTGTATTATTACATGTTGGTTCTTTTGCCTTGTATCTTGCTAATAAGTTGTTATGTTATTTTTGAAATCTAACATTGATTACATTTTTTTGAGTCGAGCGTCTATAAAAAATAACTTATTTACTTCACAGAGATATGAGATAAGATTGCATACATTCTAGCATCTTCAGACCTACTTATGAAATTACATTAAGTATATTATTATTGTTGTAGTATTTGTAGTTGAAACACAACAACTCCAGTATCGATTTATAGAGCATTGGAGTTTGAATCCTTGATAGGTAGAGTCCAAGCACATTATACTTTTCTTTGTGTCTCAATTTATTTGACATTTTTTTCTTTTAGTCATATTAAAAAAGAATGACTATTCTCTTTTTAGTAGTAACATTTTAACTTAAAATTTCTCATTTTACTCTTAATGAGATACTATTTTATAATCACATAAATTTATATCACTTATTTTTTACCATATATTCCAAAAGTAGTTTAATTTTTTAAAACTATATATTCAATCAAACACTTTTAAGATACTATTTTATAACCACATAAATTTATATCACTTATTTTTTACCATATATTCCAAAAGTAGTTTATTTTTTTTAAATCATATATTCAATCAAACACTTTTTTATAAATGGAGATGAAAAAGTATTGTGGTGAAAGATGATTATTTTGCTCGTGATACTTCTTTTGAAAGTGGGACAATATAATGGATTTCAACCTCTACCATCATGTCTTGGAATCCAAATTTATTTAGTTGAAACTTTGCGACATTTTCATATATTTAGTATTCTTTGTTTCAGTTCGTTTTCTTAATTTTTTTTTTTTAAAAAAAAAATTAGTGGAAACTCTTGAACTATTATATAGTGCAAATATTCCAAATTAATTTATAAAATTAAAATTTGTAAAATTTCAAAAAAAAAAAAACCACCTAAATTAATATCTTAAAGAGTTGTTGCATAGTGGGGCGTGCGGACCACCGTTATGTTTGTCACGACAAGATATGAAATGAAGGCAACGGTGGCGTATATTTGGCCCAATTGGACCATAAAATCCAATGAATGCAAAATAAATTTGATTTTGTTGTCGATAATATTGTTGGTTCATACTCCCTCCGTCCAAAAATATTTATCGTATTATAAATAAAATTTAGATCATTAATTCTCTTTTTCACATCTAATTTTAGTATATTTTATTTGAATCAAAGGTTTATTAACATAACTTTTGTATTTTCACAAGATAAGGTGTGCGTACACTTTATTTTGTGAAAAAATATTTCTACCTCCACGAGATAGTTGTAAGATTTGTGTACACTCTACTCTCCTCAGACTTCTCTTTATAGGATTTTTACTGGATATGTTGTTATTTTTATTGTTGATGCGTATCCTCACAAGGTAGATATCATATTATGTATATCCCCTTTCTTTCCAGATCTCATTTATAAGATTACACTACATATGTCATTGTTGCTTTTCAAAATTCAAATATTTTTAAAAAATTAGAATATATATATGTCTATGTTGGGTGTTTACCCCTCCCCGAGAACTCACATTTTTTGCTTTTTTTAGTGACTCAAATTCACAATCTTGAAATTAGAGGTGGAGGAGTGTTTACGAAGTATTTGTGCAATCTTCTCTTATTACAAAAATTATTACAAGTTGTGATGTTTTTGTGAGAAGGAATGAAATTACAATACAATGGTTTTTGTCCAAATGTGAGTCGCAGATGATTGACTTTGAATTTTTTCTTATTTTAAAATAAAATATAATCTTAAATTAATCGAGCTTTTATATAATTTAACTTTCGAAAAGTGAAATATAACGAGTATTTAAAACGGAGAGGGAGTAAAAATGTAAAAACTCTTCATATACGATATTTTAAATATCTCATAGATACCACAAAGTCCAACCTTAAAAAAAGGGGGAGAAAAATAAGAAAAAGGCAAATATGTGGTGAGTGGGACCCAAAAAGATTTGGTTGGGAGTTCCATATCTCCACTTTTTCTCTCTCCTTTGTCCTATTTTCTACTAGCACTATCAAAATTTCTTGCCCCAACCCCAAACATATGTCTCTTTTCTGTTTTCACACCCATATCATTTTTTTTTTCGAGATGTTCGATACTAATATTACGGCTCTATTAATGTGAATTTATGTTAGATAGAACCTCATTTGGAGAGCAGCTCTTTTCATCAATTTTTTTAATGTTCAAAACTCGAACTCAAAATGTCTAATTAAGAAAAGCAAGTCTTATCCCATGTACAATATCTTTTGATGGTCCATTATGTCATTTCTAACAAATAAGAGTACTAAACAATTTTCAGTTATTTCGAGCGTGAACGAATTAACTTCCACCATTATGAAAATTATGTAATTTTTTACTATGTGTAAGTTTGAAATAAAGCTATTCAAAATTAAGTTGAAATTGACAATTTGAATCGGAAAAAAAGTTATTGATTTAGTGATTTTAGTAATGATTTTAATTATTATTGTTTATATGGGGTTATTAGTTTTTAACAATTTGAGGTATTTTCTTAATGAGTTTATTGATAGTAAATTACATTTATACTATTCAATACTTTCATTTTTCACTATTTCACACTCTAGATTATTTTACAAGGCGACAATATTTGCTTCTGAGCAAGATGCAATATATCAGCTCTTTTCATTTGATTTGTCAACTTATTTCTAAGTGATTTTTAATTTTAAAAAAGCTGTGTGTGAAATCTTCACGATTAAATCAATAATGATGAAACCGATAAATTGATAACACTTTAACATATTTACAAAGTGATAACCAATCAATCGAGATATTTATTTTTTTAAATCAAACAAATTGTAATTATCGACCTACTATTCTTAATTTGATTGAAGAAAAATTAATGCTTGGGTAGTCTCCGTCAAGTTTCCGCTGTTGTTAATTTTGATTGAAGAAAAATTATAAACAACATTTTTGCTTTTGGTTATTAGTCTGTCCATTTACTTGTTGACTAACATGATTTAGTTTATATACTTTTATAAATATGGTGTTTGTTATAATATTAGAAGATCTATTGATTTGAAATTGTTAAAAATTAACAAACATTTAAAAGCTCTAGGCCTAACATTACTTCACTTTCACAACTCCTTCCCTTCCTTTTTTTAATTTTAAATTTCTATTCAGCTCTCGATATTAATATCTGAAATTCGACTAAATTTATAGCAGTGTTCACAACATGTTTTTTTTTCCTTTCTCATTTTCAGTGACTTGAACCTTGGATGTTTGATTAAGAATGGAAAAAACTGAATCAATCGTATCACGGTTCATATTAATACAACTCTTTCCTTTCTATTTTGTTCATATGGTTGATAATGAAGTTGGAAAGGTCCAATTAAGCTTTCTAATCACTAGGACTAGGAATAAAAACTTGTAATTGTAGTTTAAATTTTATTATTACAATTATTAAAACTTCTTTGAAACCTTTCATGTTGGTTGATGTGTGTTTATTAACCGAGACTTTTGGTTAAGAAAATAGTATTTACTACTTACCACTCAATTACATTCTTTATTGATTGATCTGTATTTATTAATTTGATATAGGCATTGAATATGTGCATTT